TTCGGAAAATGTAAGTGATTTTGTAGTTGAGACGTTCGGAGACATATGGGATCTTCAAGTACGACCATTCAGTGTGGAGAGGTCGAGGGTCTTTCTGATGGTTCTGGGAGTGCTTAGCTTTGCCTATAGTGCATTCAGGATACCCGTTAAGACGGAGGACGTCGTCGAGCATGTTTTGATGCTTTGTGGCTGTCGTTTTTGTAGAACATTTATCGTCGATGCGTTTCCGCTCATTACGAATGAAGTTGATCTTTGACTTTTCCGGTATTGCTGATTGGTGGTGAACGAATAGTGGTTTCTTTGCTATTTTGTTGTAAAATTGAAAAGACCTTTTGCCGTCTTTGGAGATGGTGACATTGAAATCAAGTAGTGATAGTGAGAGGCCATTGGGTGTTATTTCTGGTTTCTCAATTTCAAACTTCTGAGGCATTCTCGGGCATTCTGGTTGATATTTTTTGTTGATTTCGAGTTAAGTTAAAAACGTCTTTTGTGTTTTAGTAGATGTTCATGAAATGGCCAAAAATCGTGAAGTCCGGCTATGTAAACAGTATGCCAGCACAGAAAAAAATATTGAAGTCCCCAAACATTTTATGGCTTTTTTGAGAACTTTAGTGATTGCTCTCACTAGCCATGTTGGAATAATGTCTTTGCTGTTGCCCAGTGCAGATATTTGCCATCAATTAAAGGCTATTCACAACACTATGAAGTATGCACCTTACTTAAGATGGAGCCACGGAGAGAAATCAAATTGTCTGGTTCATATGAATATCTGTGCTTTGAGACTGATAATAGTAGAACATGATGCAGTGGATTTCATTTTCACATGACCTTTCTTGTTGTAGAAATACTAAATAAAAGACAGCTAATTAAATATGCATAAATTAGTGACAAACATTATTAAACTAGTGTTAACTTGTGAGCATTGTTAAAATTTTGTTGCATGCAAGTGAAAAAGAAAATCTAACTACTAGATTTTCTGCAAACAAACAAAATCGATTTTAAATGCTTGTTTATATATATTTCTGTTGCCATGGCAATGGCTAATACGTCTGCTTAGCTATCAAAAATCTGAAGTTCGTGTTGTTAAATCGCTTGTTTCCAGTATTAAGGGTTTTAGAGAAAAAGAAAAATGAAACACAGATATCAAAACTGCGTTCGGCCACCTTAAGAGATTTACACTGTATCTTCTTAAGGTTAGTAGCAGCAGTAGATTTCAAGCCGTTGGAAGCCCGAAGACTCTCATTAGGTCTTGTATTAGCACTTTGGCCAACTATGAACTGTCTAATACTTGTTCACCATTCACTGATCCTAAGGGAGAAGTAATCTTGGACTATCACGTTTGCAATAGCTTAAGGAATTTAATGTTTCAACCATTCTGCCTGGCAGTAAAGGCTACATCATCTACTGTTTAGTCTCTAATGACTGAGCTTATATATCTGATACAGTTTATACTCATTGTTGAATATATTCACTGTGGTAGTGGCCAACTCGAAAGGTTCTGCCCCTTCCGCCACTACAGACTCCTTTCTTGTTAAATGAAATTTTGCATTTGTGTTCTGCTTTTCTGCTGTTAGCATTTTCTTGTAATAGGACTTAGTGTAAAAAAAGGAACTGGCTTGAACGTGGACATAATTCAGAAAACGCATTTACGCTTTCTCTCCGCAGATGGGAAAAGTGGTGCTAGCCCAGCCTGTAAGGCATGTTGTTATTCTGACACAGTTCGTGTTGGTGGGTTGGTTTGTGGCGTTTGGTTTGTGTTGTTT